TATATTTTATTGTAAAAAACCTTATTTTTAGTTTTTTTCTACTCCATCTAATCAATAAATAATAGTAAAATTAATTATAATTCGAAAATTGTTGTTGAAGTCTTACTTTCTCGTAAGACACTGTACAAACACACACATTTTTAAAATTTTTTTTTCTCAAAAATTTGCACGGTAAGGTATAGTTAAAAGTTCACTATTAGATAAATAAGGACTTCTACTATTAGAAAAAAATTAATTTTAGTCATAATCTAATATTTTTTATTTAACATTGGTGGCGAAAGGACCTCCAAACAAAAATTCTACTGTAAGCAACCATAAAAGCGTATTGAGTTTGCCGTAATCTTGCAAACGTGCGTCGCCTACAAGTGATCAATTGAAGCGTGGAAGTAACAAAGGGGGTAAGTGCCAACATTTTTGATTTTAAGTTAGACTCATAGAACGGTGCCATGTGCTATATGTCCTGACACAAGTAATAAGTGCCAATCTTCATAATTCGCTTTGTATAAACATCCAAACAAAATGGTTGCCCGTAGGTAATGACAGGTCACTGACAGGCACATGATATGACAACACTGTAGACCTGGTGAATTGACGGGGTCCGTGGTATAAATAGTTATAGAGATTGATCATCTGTGTTTTTAAAAATAAACATAAGCTTATGACTTGAAGTTAAAATGTAGGTAATTATTTTTTTAATATATTCAAAGGCTGGAAATTGATTTTAAAGCACATTTTTGCTAAACCGATTTAAATTAATGAGGCCTTGCCAGGCAATATGGCCGCTTGTAAACGACCCGCTTTGAGCAATATATGTAACTAACAGGCTCACAATGTTGCCATATCTAAACTGTGTGTTCCCACTGGTAGCATTTTGACAGATCGTTGGAATGGCTTATACATGCTTCAGTCTTATTGTTTGTTCTTTTTAAAACATTATGAACGACCGTAATGTAAAAACTTGTAAAAGTAATGGTTAGAGGACGTTTTAATGAAGAACAGAAGATTGTGAAAACAAGGAAAATATATTCAGATTTTATTAATAGAACGAGGTCAATGTCTTACAAGAAAAAGGAAATACTCTGAATAACTTAAGAAAAGCCGAACTACATGTACTATCGCCATAAAACAACATTTCTAAAAACAAAAAAAAGTTTGATTTCTATGATATCTTATCTAAAGGTACCATTTGGGAAGGCGAGAAACAAACACGAGACAGAGACCAACGACCGCGTAAGGCGATCGAAATGTGTCTCTTACATCGAAATCAAATGTAATGAAGCATATTTGGGACAGCCCGACCGATGCGAGAGACGCAAAAGCACTTTTAACACGACAGTGTTTGCTGCCATGCTGCCTGTCGCTTGCATTGGTCTCGCATTCCCAAATGTGCTTGATTTCAGATTTAATTACATGTGATAAGACGTCGCCTTATGCAGTCGCTTGCCTCTGTCTCGCATTCCCAAATGGTACCTTAACAAATCCATTGGACAAAATGTTTAACAATAACCTACTAGGAGTAAAAGAAGTGTCTCAAAATGATGCTGGAAGCAGCAGCACAATGAATAAGACGCTTTCTTAGTGTTTTCAAATTATTAATTTTGTGTTAGCACTTATCACGTTTCTATTTTTTTAGAGAAGTATAATGACTTCTGTTTTTATATACTTAACTGGTTTTTTATTTTAAACCTGATTTTCCGTATTGATCTTAAATTTTGAACAAGAATAACATAATAAATAATGTATTATGTTCTTTTATTATTTTGTTCTTAAGTATCTCAAAATGTACATTGGCACTTATCACCTTTGTTACTTCCACTCTTTAATTATTCTTGTAATTTTTTTCCAAAAGCGCAATACTTATGAATATAAAATGTGTTGATTTTACTCTCTTTCCGTTCAATATGTAGCAATATATCCGATATTAATATAATATTAATATTAATATTAATATAACTGTAATGGCAGAAGCGAATTTAGAAGTTCTTTTTTAGCTCAGCAAACATTAACTGTACAAAAATGAAAAAACTGTATGTAATTTCTAAAACGTTTAGATCAGGTTGAACATATCAATGCAATAAAAAATGTTCGTAATACATATAATATATTTAACTGTAACTGTATTAGGTATTAAATATTCAAGCTTGATTATATGTGTCTGAATAAAAATGTGTTACTGTGGACAATCTTAAAAATCTGCTGGTTATTATAAAATTTAAGAAAGTACAAGTTGTCCAAATAGAATGAAAATAGGTATATAGTTTAGATTATATCAAAAATAAGTGTAATTCATTTGACAGACATTACCAAGCTTAACTATCAATAGGAACATCAACCTTAATAGTTAAGAAACTAATTGAATTAAATAATATAAAAACTTTGATGATAAATTTGTAAATATTAGTTTTATATTTACTATAAATCTATTTATATCTATCTATAAAATAAATTTGATATTGAAACTTGAAATTCATATAAAAGACTTGAAATTATTGCTGTAAATACTAAAAAATGGGGTAAGAGGAAAATGAGACGAGTATTTCAGTGTATAGGTAATTAAAATTAAAATAAAATCATATTTTGCGCTACCCATAAAAAATATTTAAAACAATAATATTGTTTACAATAAAAGAACGTACGTTATCACTACTAGGAAATATCGAAAATAAACACGGAATGATGTTTTATTATTTAGTTATAGGTTGTCAAATACACTGAGATCCAAATAAGATCTATATTTTTGTAAAACAAGCCTTACATTCTTAACTTTCCAAGGAACTTTAGGAGTGATTATAAGCTAGACAATTTGCCAATCGTTCTTCTGGTATGCGCACAAGTATGCTGTACTAGTGTCACACATTCAGTCAGAATGAGAATGGTGGTTTTGTCCTCCTCGTAAAATCTGCATTCACTATCTTCTACTATTCTAAGTGTACTGAGACGTCCTTTGAGTCGGCAATACCCCTGTTACTATGCATAGCTTGCTCTTGCGATCTTCGCAGGTTATAAAATCACCCAGAAGTATCTTAGATTGTCTTAGCTACATGAGATCGTTCCTACAGCAGCGTAGAAAAAATTTATTTTTAAAATTCCGTGTTCAAACACGGACTTCCTTGTTCGTACACGGAATTCCGCACACAAACACGGAATTCCGTATTCAATTACGGAATTTCCGTGTTTACACAAAGAATTCCATGTATTAACAAGTAATTCCTGATTCGAACACGGAATTCCTTCTTCGAACACGGAATTCCTTGTTCGAAGACGGAATTTTATTTTCGAACTATAAATTTAAATTGCATATTTACAGGTTACTTTTGGGTGACTTGGGGATCTTGGGGATCTTGGGGAGGGATGGATAAATAGATTTTTACTTTTGCCGACTTATGAAAAAGGAATGGCGTAAGTAAAAGTCTCGCCCTCTATGGTCCCTGCATAATATTTATCTTTTAATTTCATTTTCAGGTCAGTCTTATTTCTTAGGGTCTAGACCCTGACTCAAATTTCATTTGAATCGAATAAAAAAAACGCCTTGTATAGCTTTTTAAATTTACCCTCTTGCCTCTTCAGATGATAAGAGAGGGGTAAAGTGAGGGGGTATTTTTTTAATCCAATTAATAGTTATCTCTGGAAAAAGTGAAGAAATGGAGGACCGGTTAAAAATTTTTTTACTTGCGTTTCTATTAAAAAATGGTGCTATTTAAAAAACTGGTGATGACGTCATATTACGAAAAATAATTACACGTCATAAAAAATATACTTATACCAAAATATACGAATCTAAAAAACTAAATCAACTTCCTAATGGAAATGGACAAATAATTATGTCCGTCGTGTAATGAAACCAATGGTCGAACCTTTCGCTGTCAATTGCTTTTTACCACCACTCCCCTCCAGCCTCCAAAAGCATCTTAAAAGATAATTTAAGATGAAATTGTTCAAGTAGAGTATTTGAGATCAAATCAGGAGGATTTTCAGAGCATCCGTATTACTCCCCCACCCCGAATTTCCAGTCACCCAAGAACGGAAAGAACACGGAAATTCCTTGTTCAAACACGGAATTCCGTAGTCAAAGACGGAATTCCTTGTTTATACACGGAATTCTTTGTTTGAATACATAATTCCGTGTTTGAATACGGAATTACGAGTTCGAACACGGAGTTAAAAAAAAAAGAAAAAAAAATAAAAGAAATGTGGCCCTTCTACGCTGCCGTACGTTCTAATTGTCGGATGAGAGTATTTGAACTCATGTCCATGAGAGACTATCTTCAGTATATGTACCCTTCATTCTGCTGTCTCGGGACCCAAGTAAAAGTCACAGTATTGTTCTCACGTAGCTCATGATAATCTTTTGCCTGCGTTAGTTTTTATCGATGTTTAACTGGTTACATTTCTCCCAATCGCGTGAATTTATGCTAGGGTATTTACCCAAACGTTTAGATTAATTATTGGTTCTAGGCCCATACACTCTTATTCCATTTCTTTCTGTGGTTTTTAAACGGCATGCTTTTCGGTCGCAGAGGCGATTGAGTCTTGGCTCCATTTTTTCTTGCTCTGTAATTTTTTAGAAAACGACTTCTTTCTTATTTCGTCCGTGTATCTTCGACCCTGGAGCTAATGGACTTTCGTCTGTATGGTAAAAATGTAACGAATTAATTAATTTTTCCGAAAATAGCCCACTTTTTTGTATAATCCTAAAATATGTTGATTTTTTTATTTAAAATGCCTATTGGTCTATTGGCTATTATTATGGCTTTGTAAATACGAAACCGTTCAGCCTAATATCATTAAATTTAAATTACACATTAAAGTAATCGTCTCACTTTTGCTCTCACCGTATTCCAAATCCACTTCTGCTAGTTCTTTACAGGGATATATCACTATTTAAATGTTCATACTTTACTTGTGTTAGTATTAAGACCTTTACATTTTACTTCTTTACAAAACATTTTTGACTAGACATAAATTTATACAAATAATATTAAATTTTTTTTTATTCCTACCTTTATCATCTTGTTGCTTTATCCTAGGTGTGTGTTGTATATTATATTGTTGACCTGAAAAAAAAAATATATTTGATTTATTTTTTAAACAAGACGAAATAAAAAAAAGTTCAAATCATAGGCTAGTGAGATATCGTTTAAAACGTATTTCAAAAACCTATTCAATTAAAAGAATTTTGCTTTTAAGTATTTTTGTAAATCGACAGTATGGTGAAAATCTTATATTAACACCTACTGCACTATTTAGTCTTATGGGAAGTGCCCTATATCACACGCGTGTGGATAAATCTACTTTCCACCCGCATATGAATATGAATCTACTTTCTGCATAAGCTCAGATGTCTAATTTCTATTTTGATGTATGTAATGTCCATTTTAATACATTGTTACCATTAATTTTTAAATTTAGATCTTAGATATTTCTTTTAACAAATTATTTAAAGAATTTTTAAGTAACTATTTTTGCTTTTTCCTGATTTATATACATATTTAATTAGATAAGTCAAAGGACAAAGCCGTAATAGCGCAGATTGTATAGTGTCTTACTTTTTCTCCATGTAATTTTAGTGACCATTTCGTGACGCTGGTTCAATTCCCGGTAAATTTTTTTATTTTTTTTAATTTTTTTATTATTTTATTCTTTTTGCTATCTATTTTGTACTAGTACTAGAGAAGTGGGTAACCCTTTTAATAATAAAAAAGTTTTTGTTCACGGTTGTTTAACTTATTTGTAAAAAAAATATTTATTAAAACAATGTGTTCTAATATTTTTTTCCTACGACCACTTAGGAAAGTGACACATATCACACTATATAGTCCTATGGAAAGTGCCCTATATCACACGCGTATGAATAATAATTTACTTTCCACCCGTGTACGAATATGTTACTTTCCGCAGTAGCTGTCACAAAATGTCAAACACCTAATTTCTATTTTGATCTATGTAATGTCCATATTAATACTAAAATCGATATTATTGTTAAATTATTGAAATTGTTGTAAATTAGATCCTAGATATTTATCTTTAACAATTATTATTAAAATAATTTTAAAATAATATGCTCTTTATTCTGGTTAAATACATAACCGATTAGATAATTCAATTGAGACAAGGGCTATTAGCTCAGATGGTTAGAACGTCGAACTTATCAACTTTGCCATTTGAGACCTGGCGAGCGACCGCATTCAAATCCTGCGGGGCCAGAATTTTTTTTTTGTTTTTTTTATTTTTTTTTTTTAGTGTTTTTTTGTTTAGAAAATATGAAAATTGAATAAATACGATTATTGTTGATTATTTTTTTAAATACATTTTAATTATTATAGTAATAATAACCTTGGTTTTACATTTTTTGATGATATTATTTTGTGGTCGTAGGAAAAATATTGTACATCACTTGTGTGAAAAGTGATTTTCCACACTCGTGTGATAGTCGCACTCGGCTTGTGCCTCGTGCCACAATATATACCACTCGTGTGAAAAATGTTACTTTCCACACTCGTAATGTAATATACTATTTTCTACGATCACTTTCCAAAGTAGGCTTTTGCACATTTAAATTTAACTAACTAAAGTTGACGTTTTCCACGAAATCTCAAAATTTGACATTATTGGCGCATATGTGCGCCAAAGTAACTTTAGCACACGCTATTTTCTATTTTTCTATTTTCATTTGAAATAAAAGAAGTTAAATAATAGAAAGCTGATCGGTATTTTAAAACAAAACGTAGGCTAATTCAAAACATTTTAATTGCCTTCCTAATATTTGAAATAATGCAATAGTATTTTTCTTAAATGATTAAATCATAAATGATTACCGACATATAAGTACAAAAACATTTTTTTCTTCAAACGTATAATAATGTTTACATTATATCAAGGTACACGTGTTGTAGAAGTAGCCTATTTTTATACTAATACAAATATTTTTCATTTTTGTACTAGTATAAAAAAGCACAAACCTAATGTTAAATGGCTTATTATAAACATTGCAATCAAGTAGGCTGGAACTGTCATTTGAGTACTTATTTAATTTGACGTTTGTCAGTGTATGATTTAGAATATAAAAAAATAGTGTTAACCCGTTCGTTATACCTGTGTTTTTCAAGTAAAAAGAAAATGTCAGAAGAAATGCAATCAATACCTCCCGAATTGCTAGAAATAGCGAAATCTTCGATAGAAACCTTAATACCTACGAAATCGAAGAAAGTTTACGATTATGCTTACACAAAATTTGTGAAATGGAGTGAAAAAAATCACGTACATTTTTATTCAGAAAATGTTCTGATCGCATATTTTACTAATTTGTCTGAAAAATTCAAAAGTTCAACAATGTGGTCGCAGTATTCAATGCTGAAATCAAAACTAAATATTAAACATAATGTAAAAATTGAAAACTATTCAAAATTAATTGCCTTCTTAAAACGAAAAGGTGATAATTACAAACCGAAGAAGTCAAAAGTTTTTTCTAAACAGGAGTTTGATAACTTTCTTAAGAATGCACCAAACAAGACATATTTAGCAACTAAGGTAGGTATATAATTTTTTTAAACTGTTATTTAGTTTTACAGATATTCTATTAATTTCAGCTTTTTTATTTTAATTTTTTTTATCCATACTTTTATTTAAATGCTTGAAGAAAAAATAGTATACGTCACTCGGATTAGAAGGCCCATTATATGTTTCGCCCAGTTTGCACAGCTTCGGCTAACGCCTCAGCGGTGCAAAATTCTGGGCTCAACATATAATGTTGGCCTTCTACTCCTAGTAACATAATATACTATTTTCTCTACGAAGAGTAGGCTTATGTCAAATAAACTTACAATATTATAGCTATTGTACCTAATGTTATTTTATCTTTGTCATCCTATGAAATTGTTAGTACATGAAATTACAATATTTTTAATTTTGACAGAACACTATATATAAAACGCTTTAAAAATTATTCAATAAGGCATATAAAAACAAATCTAAAACCAGCTATCCTGATGGAATCTTTAGAGCCAGTTTCACATTTTTTGATAAAAATATGATAAATAGCTATTTGTGTATTAAAATTTCCACGCTCCGCTAAAGCGTCTCGCGGAAACTTTCTGTCTCAACTGCCAAAAGATCTTCTGCTCGAATTACAGACACTTTAATAAAATAAATAATTCAATTTTATTAGAAATGGGTTATCTTCTGTCGTTATAATATTGTAAGTTTATTTGACATAAGCCTACTCTTCGTAGAGAAAAAAATCTGATGTGTCCAACACATGACTTTCCTATCTAGTTATTATAGGCTTTTTCCGGTTATTTTGTACAACCTATTGCAGCATCTCTATAAATGTTTAGAGGATAAACTAAATATATACATTGTCCACATACATCTACCTCGAAACATTTTTCTATAGATATTCATGGAAAACGAAAATACTGAAAAATTAAAATTTCCTACAATTTTTTCATTACGGTCCATTTTAGAAAATTCATGTATAAACAAAAATTATAGAGATCGATATCGCAAACAACTTTTATTTCAAAAACTTTTATAAAAATCAAAATTTTGCACATTTTGTCAAATTTCTCGAATACGGACCATTTCAGGAAATTTTTACATAAAACAAAAATTATAGATAATAATATTAGAAGTAACTTTTATTTGAAGAATTTTTTTCTCCAAACATTAATAACAGATATATTCCATAAAATATAAAAGTGGCCTCCCATAAAGTACCCCCCCAGATGTTCCGACTATGTCTAAAATCTAATCATTTCACGTCAGGCCGAAATAAATCTTAAGTTTAAAATTTAATGTTTTTTTTCTTTATCCGTTTTTGAGTTTTCTTCAAAATTCGAAATTTACACATTTTCTCAAATATCTCGAATACGGTCAATTTTAAAAAAAATTATGTATAGAATAAAAATTATAGAGAATTATATTACAAACAACTTTTATTTAAACAATTTTTATAAAAAATAATTTTTTTTACATTTTGTCAAATTTCTCGAATACGGACCATTTTAGGAAAATTTTGCATAGAACAAAAATTATAGATAATTATATTAGAAGTAACTTTTATTTGAAGAATTTTCTTCTCCAAACGTAAATAACAAATATATTCCATGAAATATAAAAATGACCACCTATAAAGTACCCCCCCAGATGTTCCGACTCTGCCCAAAATCTAATCAGCTCATTGGACGCTAAAACAAAGCTTAAGTTTAAAATTTGGTGTTTTTCGGTGTATCGGTTCATGAGTTATGCGTTATACAGACACACACACACACACACAGACACACACACACACACACACACACACACACAGACACACACACACACACACACACACACACACACACACACACACACACACACACACACACACACACACACACACACACACACACACACACACACACACACACACACACACACACACACACACACACACACACACACACACACAGACATCATCGCGAAAATAGTCAAAACGGATTCAGGGGACCTCAAAACGTAAAAATCCGTCGAAAACTCGAGGTCGAAAAAAATCATGATTCCTATACTTTCCTTATATCTGTATACAGATAGGAAAGTAAAAATGTTTTACTACTTATATGTCTGTTATCATTTATGACTTAATTATTTACGAAAAATACTGTTGGATGATTTAAAATCTTAGGAAGTCAATTAAAATGGTTTAGATTAGCATACAGTTTGTTTTAAAATACCCATTCGCTTTCTTTTATTTAATTCAAATAAAAATAGACAAGCGTGTGCCAAAGTTATAATGTCAAATTAAGACAATTCGTGGAAAACGTCAACTTTCTAGTTAGATTTGACTTTGCAAAAGCCTACTTTGGATAGTGATCGTAGAAAAATATTGTACATCACTTGTGTGAAAGTTTTCACACTCGCGTGATTGTCGCACTCGTGTGAAAAATTTCACTTTCCACACTCGTAATGTAATATACTACTTTTTATCAGCTGCAACATATTAAAAATTAAAAATTTTCTACAGATTTCTGCGCTCATCTGTTTTTTAATCAAAATGCAATTTTTATAGATACCTAAT